AAAACCCTGCAAATATTACAAAAATAACAAAATGTGTTTCATAAAAGTAGTACTATCCTGTATTCAGTGGTTGTTAACATTTTCAGATCGAGTACCTCAATAAAATGGGCAAAAACTCAAAATTCATTACATACATATCTTGCCACAAAGAATTTTCTATAATCTCTTTCAGTATTGGAGCTGTGTTGAAGTCAGCGATTTGTACATTCTGTGGCTTCATATTTTTTCTTTTTAAGTCAGCTCTCAGACTTCCGAGAACTGAATGTTTGCCAGGAATGAGTCAAATTTTCCTACCTTTGTATGACTTTGCTTCTTGATTTCTGTGTATTTCTCAAAACAAGGCCACTTTGTAACACATTTTGGAATCTGAGATGGATTTAAAAATACTGTCAGCTATTCTCAGCATCCACTATCACCAAGACTTGCACACACACTGCTCTGATGTGGCCTAACAGCTCTTCTCACCCATCATATCCACGACTGATCCTTTGGAGTATTCCACTCCCAAAGACAAAACCCTGTTTAACTTCTCCTCCAAGCTTCCTGGTGAGTCCACGAGGTCCTTTCCAAGGGAGGCTGTTTCTTGGTCTTAACAATCAGGCACATCTCAGCACCATGCCTGAGAGTATTTCCCATGTAATTTCCCATTTGTTCTTCCCTATTTAGATTCTTAGTGGAGCCTCTAAATCTGAAGAGCACATTTCTATCAATTCAATTTAGTCATTCCAGCAGTATTTGGAAATGTAAAATTCATTTTAGACTTTTCAGAAATCTTTATGGTTTATAAAGAGCTGGCTACTGTTTGATGAACATTATTTAAGTTTCCTGCCGACCTCATTTAGAAATACTGCTATTTTAGCTAAATCTCTTAAATTGCTAATCAGAATCTATTACCTGGATATTAATTGAGTAGTTACATTTAAGATAGAATGATTATTTTATTGACTCACTTATTAACTCAGTATATTCTAACAGGCCACTAGAGGTAGGAATGGTGAAATGCTTTCTGGATATAATAAACAAAACCAGATGTAGGCTCTCTTCAGAAGGGAGATGACAAAGAAATGAGAAGACAAACTTATAATAATAATCACCAAATATTATCTAATTATGTAAGTACTCCATAGGAAAAGCTCAACAACTGTGGGATGGCAGCTTAAAAGGGATCAAATTGTTGAGGGATGCACTGGAGAAAAAACAGAAAACCCAATCAGAGAGAAGAAAATCTTACCAGTTCATTCCCTTCCATTTATACACACTAATGACTGATGACCAAGTAACCCCCATTGTAGGGGACTGAGTGTATGAAAAATGTGTCTACTTTTCAATTAAATATAGTAGTCCTGGCTGTGAGCTCTCAGATTGTTTCTACCCATTTACTGTGATGCAGCTGGTGATGTCCAGAAGCAAGTGGCCTATAGGTTCTAAGCACACTGGCTTTCTGCTTCTTATTAGCAGAGACTCTAGAGACACAGTGGAGCTGTTTACTGGTATGTAAGCAGAACACCAGAGGCAAAGAACTTTGATCCAAGTATCCTCCCTTCTCTTGAGAGTTTTAATAAATGTTTCCCAGGTTTTTACATGTTTTTATTATGCAAAGCCTACTTTTCCTCAGCAAATAATGCTTTTGTTTTTATTGTTGTTAAAACATAACATATCCTAATTCCCTTCAGTTTAATTGTGAAATTAAAAAACCTAAACAACCAAAAAGATGTTTTAATTATGGATACCTGACTCAGTGCAGAGTAACACCAGTCACAGGGCACTGCTCTGCTTTTGATTTCAAAGCAATCACTGAGCAAACCTCCTTTGATTTGGAACATGAATCAGCATTTAGAGAAGCTAAACTGAAACCACTGCTCCAGATTCTCAGTGACAGAAAACTTCTAAATACGGCACTGTTTGTTCATAGTTCTGGGTATCTGTGATTTATTTGGCTTCATTAGACAATAGCGGCTTTGGTTCAGTTATATTTTTAACATTCCTTAAAATAAATCAAAAGGTGTTCCCACTTTGAATGTGGATTAATATGGAGAAAATGAAGAACTAACAAGTGCTGAGCATCCAGGGATTATGAGCTGGGCCCTGTGCTAGACTGACTTCGTTTATGTTTTCTTGGTTGCATATAATAGATATTGGCTCTGGATAGCTTAAGGGAAAAAAGTTAGTGGCACTAACATATTGGAAGAATATCTAGGTATTCTAGAATTTAAGTCTAAGGAAAAGCAGCAGTCACATCTGTCTCCCTAGGGTAGTTGAACTGACTTACCATATGACTTCACAGGAGGCCCAGTTAGGGTCAGGTCTTCACCTGTGGATCAGTAAAGGTGAGAGCAGCAGAATAATATAGTTCAGCTATTTGCTTGTGGCCAATCACACCTGAATTTTGTGGGTAGTTCCCAGAGAAGGATGAATTATTGTGAACTGATAGCAACATACCAGCAAGATCTACTACATGGAACAGTTTACTGGCTTAACTTTCCACAAAGTCTGTAAAAATCAGTATTTCTGCATCACAAATGAGAAAACTGAGACTTGAGTTGGTTGGATAACTTGTGTAAGGATCTCCAATTAGAATGTTGGAGATACTTACACAACTTCAGGATATCCACAAGGTCTACAAGAAAGGCTTTTTCTTCTTAGAATGCTGACATAATGTACTACCTGAGGTAGAAACTTTCAGATATTTTGTTTTGGAGAGACTATTTACCCACAGGGTACTAGAAAGAGTAGAACTACATGTTGAAAGTCCTAGGGTTGAATTCCAACTCCATCTATCATCATGGACAAGAAGATATGTAGTCTACTTGATTAATAAATGTGCATTTATCTATCTATCTATCTATCTATCTATCTATCTATCTATCATCTATCTATATACCCATCTATCATCTATCCTCATTCACATCACAGGTGATTGAGATAATATGTGAAAATACTTGGCACAAAGCACATACTCATTTTTGGTGGAGAAGGAGCTTTTCTACTAATGAAAAGTACAACTTTTGTACTACTCAAGCATACTAGTCATAGTCTAAGGGTGGTTTCATCATTCAAAAAATCCAAATTACTTTCCTCCCTTCAGTCTTTTAAAACAGTGCTATATTCAGCTAAACACTAAAGTAGAAAATGATATGGAAACAGGGTTCAGGAAATCGTCCACTAGGCAAGAAAATTTTTAGATACAAAGTGTTTGCCTATTTTTCTTTGAGACTCGGGTGGGGAGGATGGTTGTTTTACGTTCCAGGGGGGGGCACTCTTACTTTTATCATAGTACATACTTGATCATCTATGGTCTTTGTCCCTTTGATACCCAGAGCAAAAATGGAATACAGTTCTTTGTGGAAATTTTTAACTTGAACATATTGAAATAGGTTATTAGCTGATTCAGTTTAGAAGAATTAATGTACACAAATCATCAGAATTCTATGTCTGAAGACACTTCCCAGTTATCTTGAGGATGTCTCTATGGAGAAAGCATTGCAGCAATCCAAATCAGTGTATTACTCTGTTTATTATGCTCATAGACTGACAGATATTAATTTATTCCAAATTCCTTCAGGCAACAATTAGTTTATGTAAACAGAAAAACTGGACCCCCAAATTCAAAAAGAAAAGAACCATGGTGGTCAGGGTGAAGGAGAGGTACAGACTGTTATGCCCCTTGACATTTCCACTGTCTCTGGATCCTAGCTTCTATACTTCATATTCATCTCGGTCACATTAGAGTAACTTGTAAAATATCATGTCTTTTAATTTGATGATAAAGAGAGCCAAGTGATTTAAAACTAATAAACAATACTGTTGCTTTACTAGGTTGTTTATGAATTTTAAACCTCTTCTCTTCTTTATCATGTTGAAATTCAAGTCAATGGTTTGCTTGATTTAATTTTTATTTAAATGTAAGAGAAAACTGAGAAGCCTTTAATAGTTAAAGATTCTTTGTAAATATTGCAAATATTTAAAGGGAGGTGTTCATAAAACATCATCATACATTAGTATAGAAGTTTAAGAAAAGAAAAATCTTAAAGAGAAGGAAAAAATTGGAAAAAAAGAAATAAAAATAGTCAAATAGGCTTTTAGAATTCCTTTTATTACACTGAGTAAACCCAGAAAAGTACAAAGCCCATAAAAGTAAGACAGTTCAGAAAATAATACAGTATGTTTGCATACATAAATTTTGTTGAAATTTTAGTTTTGATGTTAAAAACTCATGATTCCATATTGAAGCACAATGATCATGAATTAGCACATTCTGAGGTACTAGAAAAAGATTTAATATATCCAATATCTGAATTTGAATTCCTATAAATGTCTGAGTTATCCTATCTTCCTAGAGATTAAATTTATGGTTCAACTCAAAAGAAGAAATGACTTTACTGATTTATGGTGTGTTTGAAGAGCAAAAATAGTAAATAAGCATATATCACATATACCCCTTGAGTTTAACTCAAGTTAAACTCAAATCAGTGTTGAATTAACAGTATAATCTTTAGTGTTCTTATTTGTACTGCTTGTTTTCAGTAGATCACAATGAAGATACATAGATTTAAATGCAGAAAAGAGGTTAGGCAACATAAGAATTATTCTCTATCATATCAGCATTTTATACCCAAGTTACAGATAAACAGGTGATGAAATTCATGCTCTTTGTCTCATCATTATAGCATATCATCAAGACTTATCATGAAACAATCATAAAGATATTTATCCCTTTTACCTCTGGTGGCTGTAAAGTTTATTTAATTGACTTGATAATGTGATACTTTTCAGTGGTTTGGGGTCATATTATACTTTGTTGTGATACTACTAATAAAATAATATGAAATGTAAGGGAGGAAATAAGATAAAATAAATTAGATCCTTTGATAATTCTTTTAAATATTGTTTTGGCTTATTCTTGAACTAGAAATCAATTCTCCGGAGTTGGAAAGAAACAAAAGCATCTTTGAATTCACGGCATGTATTTGAGAGTTCTGATGATTTATGTGATACCAGTGTGGGTTAGCTTGTCCTGTTCTCTTTATTCAATGTCAACTGGTTCCGTAGCTATTAAAGCACTTAACTGTTTCTGTGCACAGGACAGGAACAGCTCCAAACTGGACAGGCTTCTCTGGCGGATGACTTGATCGAGCTGTTGATTTTTTAAAGACAGGGAAAGAGAAGAGTATTAGTTGCAATGTAAAGAATATGATACCATGAAACCCATTAGGAAAACGTTTTCAGATGAGCTGATTTAGGAAATCAAACAGTGCTTTACACCATGTGAAAATGAAGTCATTATTTCTGGCCCATCACCTAGGATGAGATGATAACCATTACAAGTTTGATAACTGATTTTGGTATGCAGTTACTGGAGAAATGTCATATATTAAGTAAAAATAATTTTAGAAAATATGAGTACAAAATGCAGTTTCTTAATGAATATATAGACCAAATATCTGTAAGCATCATGTAAACATCATAGGTGCAAAAGAATACACAACAGAAAAAAGCATAATTTCATCATGTCTAGGGTTTAGTAGAAAAAAATGATGTGAGGCGCTAAGTTTCTAAAATTACATAAAGTTTTAGGTAAAGGTATATTTAAAAAATTCTGATAATGCTGAAACTTATTTGACCTGTTCCTTCTATGACAGCAGAGATTTTTTATTAGGATTGTTTTAATGTATTGATAATAAAATAATACAGTGAATAAAATAGGTTTAAGTAAGAAAAGTTATTTGTGTTATATATATATATTACATATATATATATTACATATATATATTACACATATATATATTACATATATATATTACATATATATATAATAACTTGATAAAGATTGCTGGATACATGGAGAAAAGTTTTTCTTATGCTCCCCCCTCAAACTTTCAGATGATATAAAAATAAGCAATCAGTAACAACATTGCTTAAAGAGTACAGAATGGAGGAATTCAGAAGAGAGCCAAATAAATTCCATTTCACAGCATATGCCTGTCATATTTATAGTGAAAGGAGACAGATATAATCCTCCTTGCAATAAAAAAGACAAATCCAAGTAAAAGGTCTCTGTTAAATTACACTTTGATATGAAGTATATGAATCACTGAAATTCAAGATGACTGAAAATGCTGGAAAGATTAAAGAAATACCTAAGAGTTATTATATATTTAGAAAAATGATCAGATACAAGGATTGGACAAAACTAAGACTCTCTTCAAATCTAGTATTCTGATATTTTAATCTATGTATAGAAATAGGATTTCTGCTTATCCTTTTCCCTTCTTCCTTAATCACATGATGCCTTCAAGTACATACATTCCTTCTGTTTACAGGAGTCTCTTAAAAACAAGAGAATCCCTGAAATGTAAGTCCAGGTGAACATAGATTTGGTCTGTCTTACTAAGTACTACATCCCTAGCATTTACAGAAGGGTATGACATGTCAGACACTGAAACATTTTGCTGTGATGGAGCAAGGAAGTCTACTAGGAAATGACAGAAGCACTTTTAATGTTAAGAGTGAAAACATGTTCAACCTAAATTAAAGGAAATTGTGAGAAATTAGAAAAGGTGGGATTTTAATTTTTATAACTGTTGGGTTTTACCAGTACTGAGGTTTTGAATTCTGGGCCATGTGCTTGCTAGGCAGGTGCTCTATCACTTTAGCCACACTCCCAGCCCTTTTCTGTTTCAGCTGTTTTTCAGACAGGGTCTTGATTTTTGCTCAGGGCCAGCCCTGAACCATAATCCTCCAACTTATGCCTCCTGAGTCGCAGGGATTACAAGTATGTGTACCATGCTCAGCCAAGAGATGGAATTGTAAAATTTCATTTTAATATACTCTAAACAGATGACAATCTAAACATTATTCTGTACTTGGTCAAAATTCAAGCAGTGGAGTGTCCCAACACTCAGTTCTAGTATATGCCCCAGTGACTTTATCTCCTTGTGAATGTTTCAGAATTTAAAAATAGGCTTTAAAAAATATTTAGTCCCAGGGTTGGGGAAACAGCTTGGTGGCATAGCAGTGGGCTAGCATGTGCAAAGCCCTGGATTTGAACCCCTAAATTATGCTATTTCTGTGAACAATTTATTTCCACAATAAAATGTGAATTAACAGACACTTGTAGCAAAATTGAATTTTTAAAGGAAGTGACCAGACTACCGAAAATCTTTTAATATTTTTTTCATAAAGCAAAGAAAAAGCACATAAAGCTCAGAATTATATTATTTTGAGCTATATACATAGGAATGGAAGCATTTCTTTATAAGATGAAGAAACAATGCAGTCAAATGTGAGGAGAGTTGTATTTGGAGGGTGGATTCAGGCAGGATGAGACCTCTGGATTCCATTTGGAAGTAGTTTCGTGGGTGTTTGTGTTACTATTATGCTCATATATGTGCTCGAACTATTCAGAAATGTCCAGAAAGCCCTCAGAACACTTAAGTGTTCCAGTAAAAACAATTTGACTTCACATCTTCTAATCTGTGGGTGTTGGATACAAGAGAAACTTCTATCTTTTACAGATTTACATAAAGCACAAACTCACAGTGTATAAACTAGCATTCAGCCTGTAATTGCTGCACAAGTAATCTAGATTTATGCATTCAAAATGAGTATTCTTTAAAGACAAGGACATGCATAATGACAAAAAAAGTGTGACAGGTTTCTATTTAAATATACCAATTCCTTCTTTTCTCTGGCTTGTGTTAAGTCACCCTGGAATTACAGTCTATAGGATGATGTACACTCTGGTTTTGGTTTCAGAAAGCTGCCAAGGCTCATTTCACATCTTTCACTGAACCTCCCCAGAACTCTCTGAAGGTAAGAATTCATTAAATAAACAGGAGCTCAACACCTTAAGGAGCAATAAGGTGACACAGACACTTTCTTTGGAAGAAGACAGGAATTGAGCTATCACAGAACTGAGCTTCCAATTTAGTACATCCTTCCTGACATGGTATATGAGATGATGTCTGAGAAGGAACATGTATGGCCTCTCTCTTATAAGGATATTGAATTCTTCTCTGTGAAATAAGTACATCAAATTGATGTTCTTGGCTAATTCCTGAATTTCAACAGTTTCTGTTTTATTAGGCATGACCTTATTATCCTTTATTGAAGCAAGAAGAATTCTGGCAAAATATTCAACTTTCCTGCCCCTTGAGGAATGGGACTTAGTTCTGTATTTGTGGCTTTCATTTCAAAGTAAACCAAGACTTACATTCTGTGACACAATGCTGGCAAGCAGTATATCCAGAGTAGTGGTGGCAAGTACTTTTGGATATGGGGTTTACTGCTTCTTCATGAGTGTAGCTCTACTTGCTTTGTTTTCCCTCCCATTTTTCATTGTTTTACCTTCTATTCAGCCTTGATAGATATTTGAGAAAAGTCTGGAAATTCTGAGGTTCCTGAAATAGGTTCCTTGACTTTATAACCAACCACTATTATCTCTTCAGTTTCTTGGACTACTGCTAAAAGTCATTTAGAAACATACTACTTGTTGAAAGTTGCTAATTTTAGAAAGCTTTAGAATTACTTTCCAGTAATTCCATCCATTAGACTCACCTTCCCATTAAGTGTTTCACCCCATACCAGAAGAAAAAGAAAAATGACACATTTTGTCCTTAAGCTTTTGTTTCCTAGTCATGAAAATGCAACATGAAAGATGGTAAACTTATACTGGCCCGCAGACCAACATTCAAAGTCAATTACAAACAAATGTGGCTTATTTTAATGAGACTGTTCATTAAAAACATTGTTCACATCCCCAAACACCAGATACATTACTTTTTAAATAAATGAATATATGCACACAGTTCCTATATACAACATACTCAGTAGTAATGGTGCTTTCAATATTTTGGGTGGTTTCTACTGACAAAATATAAGAAACGTGAAAATATTAGATCTATCTTTATCAATGCTAACTTTTCCAAATTATACTCTTGCATATTTTAAATTTCTTATCTCAACTTTCAAAAACTCTAGAATAGATTATCAGGTAAATGCACTGATGGAAAGCGAGTCACACAAATGTTATCAGTAATAATATGTTTATGGACTCACACTGACTAAGAAGCTCTTTCATGGGCATTAAAGAAAGGTCAAATATGATGTTCCAGAACTGAAGTACACAGGCAGATTTTCTAGTTAACATCATCTTAGGTAAGAAGAATTATTTACCTTCTAATGAGAAATGAAATAGTTCTTCAGCCCCTTGTGATTACAGTGCTGTCCTTTTAACACTATGTGGATATGAATGCCTTTCTTTTTACTGACTTTATTACACATTCTTCTTGTTCACAACAAACACATGTACGCAAGCTGTAGATTTATTTACACATTTTGAAACTGAGTTAATCAGTTAATCATTCAATAAAAATTCAAGGCTTCCCATATTTGTTTTTTTCCAAACTCAGTCTTTTTTTTCTTTATTCATTTATTCCTATGTGCATACATTGCAAGGCTTCCCATATTTGTGCATTACTTCTGTGATGCCTGGGAAAAAATGTCTGTAATGTTTAAGAGGTTTATGAATTTCTTGGAGACACACACATGCAACGAAGAACAACTAGGTGAAAACACGTAAAACTTAGATCTAATGGAAGATCAGAGAAGAGAAGAGGGCATAGTGGGACAATGCAGGACAGAACCACGAGTGGACTTGACAAGGCTCAGAGGGTTGAGAGCATTTCCATAGAAATGCAATGGAAGAATTTCAAGAAAAAACAAATTAGTGAAAACAAAGAATTGTTTAGAGGCACTGAAGAGTCTCGAATGTAGTGGAGAAAATTTGATTTTATTCACCCACTTATTTGTTCAGTGTTTATTTTGCATGTACTATGTGCCAGGCAATGTTCAGGTACTAGACATCTAGTGGTAAATAAAATAACACTATGTATCTGCTTTTGTAGTCTCTGCTCTTAAAGGATTTATAATTTAGTTTAAGGAGACAAATTTATACTTTTCAGGTGGAGATCGATGCTATTAAAAGTAACCAGGTAGGGTAAAAGGATAAACAGATGTGGAGGGGTAGCGTGATTAGAGACCACTTGGAGAAGTTAGGTAAGAGATTTTAAAGAAGAAATGAGACATGTAAACAGTGTCAGGAAAGAATTTCAAGGCAAATAAAAAGGGAAAAGT